GAGAACAGGATACTATTAGGAGGAGAAAGCTGGGTCCAGATCATACATAGAGTAAGGACTCTGGACTTCATCCTAAGAACAAAGGTGAGCTCCTGAGAGACAAAAAGGTGATGTGATTAGAATTTAGGTTTTAGAAAAATCAGATAAATTGATGCAGCACAAGACTGGACACAGGGAGATGGCTGTAGGAGTTCTGTCTAGGAAAATGGCCTGATGTTTTAAACTTCTCTTTAGGAAGGATTGAGGCCTGGGGATTTAGTGCAGCAGCACAGTGCCCGCTTGGCAAGTGCAAGGTCATGAGTTCGATTCCTGGTACCAGAGAAAAAAACAAAAACAAAAACAAAAACAAAAACAAAAAAAATTAAGGATTTTTCTGGATTTTCTCTCACTGGGGTGGTATTGCTTTTGTTTCTCCCCCATAGTGACCCATGGTCTCCTCTATATCCAAGTGTTAGGGCCCTGCAGGCTCTCCTTTGAGATCTTTTTCATCATTCATACTCATTACCCAGTGATCTCATCTAACCTAGTAGTTTTCAGTATCATCCGGACACTGACAAGCTCCAAATTAATGTCACTAGCTAGCCCAGCCCTCTGCCCTTCAGACTCATATATTCAACTGCCTACCCAACCTTCCCATTTAGAGATTTAACAGGTCTCTCAAACTGAACTCTTGATTCTGCCTCAAGGTTCCCCCATGGCAGCGCTAACCTGTGGCACAGCCAAATATTTGGAATCACCTGAAACACTTTTTTGTCTCCTACTTGACACCCAACCCACTAGCAAATCCTTCTGCATCTTCAGAGGATCAGGCATTTTCTTTAACAATTCTTACTGTTACTCTTTGTGCCAAGTACAATCATCTTTAACCTAGGTTATTCCAGCAGCCTAGATATCGTACCAGATGATTGTCAGAATAGATGATTGTAACAGATCCCTTTGCTTCTGCATTGTTCCTCCACAGGCTTCTGCTCAACGGAGCAGTTAGTTTGCCCTTCAAAATGTTAGCTCCTGTCACTCTGAATAAAGACCTCAGAATCTTCCCCTCTTTCTCAGAGGAAAGACCAAATCCTTAGCTTGGCCTGTGACACCCTATGCCCTGTATTCTTACCCACTCCTCTGCCCTTAGCTCTCACTGTTCTCCCTCTTGGCACTCTGTCCCAAGTATCCTGGCCTCCTTTAACGTCCCTCAGACCTTGAGCAAGCTCTCATCACATAACTTTGGCACCTTGCTATTTCCTTTGCCTTGAGTACTTGCTCCCCAGACACCCAGAGTTTCATTTCTTTCCTTCTTTCTTAGGTCTCTTTTCAAGTGTAATTTTACTAGGCATCATCTCTGAACATCTTCCACCAAAAAAGTGCCCCTTCCACCTTCTCTAAACCCCTAACCCTATTGTATCTCTCTACACTGTGCTTTATACCATCTCCATGGCACTCAGGGCTGTGCATGTTCTGCCTTGTTCATTTATTCCACCTCTCCTCACTGAAACCCTGAGCCTTAGGAAAGTAGGAACTGTGTGTGTTATGCTGAGGGCTGATGCTCCATGCCCCTGAACATCTTTTAATGTACAGTAAGCACACAGTAAATAACTTGAATGAACACAGGGAGGGATTTCAACGCAGCACAGATGGGAAGAAGCAGATGCACTTGATATCTTTTTGGTACAATGATCAGATTGTGATAATTTCTCAGGTACTGAGCAGAAGGGAGATGAAGACAGAGGGGAGTAGGAGGCTATCAAGTGCTGACCCAAACCAACCAAATGGATGGTAAACCATTCGCTGAAATAGAGAAGATGGGAACAATAGATTAGTGACAGGGACAGGGCAGGACAAATACAATTTTGAAGTTCAGATGAAGGTTATGAGAACATATTCAACTGAAGATGTTGTGGAGGTAGTGGACTCTGGAACTACTAATTGGATTCATGCTGAGCATTCATCTCTGTTAGTACAGAACAACTACGTGGGGAGGAGATGAGGAGCGAACACATAGAGCTGAGTTATTTTTAAGAGGAAAGCTCAATCCTGTTAGCTCACCCCTCAGGTGAACATGGCCAATCAGCCACCCCTCAGGAGCGCTCAGCCCCGTCAGGAAAGCACATTCTCCAAGCTGCCGAGTCTCATTGTCTGATCAGAACCATTTTTCAGTCTGACTCTGGGGGTTCCTGTTTGCCATTCACAACCTACTATATTTTATTGCACCTCCTGACATTGTTACACAACATTTATTGAAAGCACATTTGATGGTAATGAAGTTTCTATTAACTATGATTAAATCTCATAAAGCACCTGAAGATAATTTAAGATGTGCAGAAGCAGAAAATGAAACATTCGGTTTACTACATTAGGAAACGTAACTGATTAAATTATCTCATTTACAATAAGTGCTTTCGTGAGCCATGCAGTGCACATATTTCCCCCAGTTTGTCATTATGATTTGGCAACAGATATCTTAAGACTTGACTTTCTGTTTTGCACCTTCCTGCAACTCAGAGCTGGGTCCTCTGGCTGCCAGGTTCTGGAAGAGAGTGCCTAACGCTCTGAGCGAGGTTTCTCATCCACCAGGCTTGGAGGGGGATCGTGTGTGCAGCTATATATAGGAGCAGGTTGTTTCTCAATTATCTTCATAATTGACTTTGATTTTGCATCAGTGATGATTCATATAGACTTAAACCAAGCTCTACTTTGACAGCACAACTGCAGCCTGAATTTGTATAATGCACTCCTAACCATGCAGCATACAGAACCCCAATCGGATTCCTCTGGGAGCCTTGTGCAATCACATTGATTCCGTTAAGGTTTTATTTTTAGGGAAACCACAAATTAAAACAGTTTAAGCGGTTCCGTTGCAGTATCCAGCAATTAAGCATGGTGCTCAGGAGCGAGAACCCCAAGTAAAAACTACTTTGGGAGTCCCTAAGGACCAGAAATAGCTTCTGTGGGGTTTATGGCTGGAAGTACAGATGTAACCAAATTAGAATGGCACAGGACTCACAAACTAAGCGTGAAATTAATTTTAAAAACACACACATGCATTTTTAAGCAACCCTTTCACTGGCCGCCAAATGGCCACCCATGATCTTGCTTTTGCTACCAGAACCATCTGATGGCCTGTACATGGGACCACAAAGAGCCAGGTGCCCATGCACTCCCCTCACCCAAGGGGCACAGGTATAGGCCAAAGGTTCAGTGACCTATTTCTTTCTTCTTTCCTCAACATATGCACACACACAAAAAAACACACACATGCATAGCCAGGTTCCCCCAACCTCCATTTTACTAAGAGTTCAAAATCAATCATGCTGGTCCTTGGGTATCAAAGATTCTGTTAAAAGCAGCTGACAGGAGAGAAACAAGAGAGTGCTTTTGTTGTTTTACAAGATTCTCAGATTCTGCAGGTAGTGGCACCATTGTTGTCTGATGCAACAGAAGGAAGGGTGAAAAGGATAGGTTTTCTGAACTTTGCTCACATGCCTCCTGATGCCTGCCCCAAGACACCAATTTCTACCTCTCCTCACATGGTCTTAATTCCTTCAGAGAAGATAGCTAATAAATGCTATTAACTCTCCCAAGTGCTTTGAATTTTAATGCCCTTGGATTTAAAAGATCAAAAGTCATTCATTTTATCCTGAAATGAGAGCAACTGGGCGGTGACATCTTTCACAAGCTTTACAAACCAAACCAGCTGAGCAGCTGTCCAACTGCCCTAGTGATAACAGCTGATTGCTGATGCCTTACATCTTGAGACACCTTATATCTGAGTGTATTAACAGATAGATTCTTAGCAATAACCCCCACTGGGGATCCTAATTCAGTTGTTCTGATATACAGTATATTTAATGGGTTCACACCACATCCCAAGATTTTGATGCATGTGGTTTTTGATCCACTTTTTTTTTTCTTGGTTCTGGGGATTGACCCAGGACCTTTGCACTGAGCCACACCCGTGTGTGTGTGTGTGTGTGTGTGTGTGCGTGTGTGTGTGTGCCTGCATGTGTGTGTGTGTGTGTGTGTGTGTGTGTGTGTGTGTATTTTTTGAGACAAAGTCATGTTAAATTGCCAAGTTGGCCAGGCTGGGCTTGAACTTGGATCTGCCTGCCTCACTATCTCAGACTGCTAGGATTATAGGCATACACCATTATGCCTGGCTTCTGATCTACTTTTTGAAGGATACTTTTCTAAGACAGTGGCTTTCAGCTTAAGTAGCACATCAGACTCACTTTGGCAACTTTGAAAACATAGGGATTCCTGAGTTCTAGTACCTTTCAGTGCAAATTCTGATTTCACTGACACAGTTTGGGACCTGGGATTTTAAAAAGGCTTCTAGGTGACTCTAAAGTAGTCAAAACTGAGGACCATAGAGTGAAATTCAAGCTGCTAATCATTTAAGTCATGTTCCTCTTTTCAAATCTACTGGATGTAAAAAGGGAAAGAACGCCAAGTCCTCTTCAGTAAGCAAGGAAGCCTGCATCTAGTGAGCATGAGCGAGCACCAGTATCAGCTCCTAATGATCTCACTGTGGAATTCTAATCTCCCCAGTTGCCATGGAGGCCATGGCAGGTGGGGTTCTGGGTTTGCTTCTACAGCTCTGCTTCCTCCTTTTCCTCCTCTGCCTCCTGCTGTTCCTTGTGCACGGAGTTGCTTGGAGTTAGGCTTTAGCCCAAAGACTGCTCTCACGAAAGTGTATGCTGACAAATATTTATTAATTTTAATGCTATAAATCTCCAGAAATAAGAATCCTAGATGACATTTGCAGAGCAGTGGACTTGTAGGCAGAAAGAATAAAGAAGAGAGATTTACTTTTGCTCTGAGGGAGGGGAGGGGTGTGCATATTTCTTTTTGATTTAAACCTCCGATAGGAGACTCCAAACTGAATGAGAAGCTCCCGAAGGGCCGGCTCTTTCATAGGAACTTCAATTCTGCTTGGTTCCTAAACAAATATAACAGTAAGGCAGCAAATATGAGAATAATTTATATTCACAAGAGGAAAAATAACTTACTTTGGGGTTTTATTTCATGAAGAGGTTTTTTATCTAAAAGAAAGAAAGAGAAAAAGAAAGTTGCATTTAATAAATTTACATGGAGCAGATATATTTCCGATATCACTTTATATCTACCTGTATAAATGTTACATTTTTCTCCTTTTTTGCAGATAATGTGGATTCTGCTGTCCACATTTTTCTTTCTAACATTTTATTTCCTTCCTTTTAAATGCTTTTCTAAGATGATTACTTTAAATATTTTATTTTCCCTCAGGTTCACTAGCATTTTGCTCGGTGGCCAGTACAAGATTCTTATCAGTATCATGAGAATGGTAAGCTTGTTCCCTACCCCTTTTTATATACAGCAAGAAGCCTGCCCAGGTAAGAGATGCAATTTCCCTATGTATGATGATAGCAAAAGAAAGCAGTGAATAAATATTTAAAGGAGCCTGCACTGGTTTGCCCCAGTTGTGGGTGATACGGAGCTCCAAAGCCTGCCTCTGTATCCATTCTCCTGGGCTCTGGATGCTGCTACAGTGGTGTTTTTAACAAATTACTTCATTTTATGTCTTCATCATCTGTTAAAAATCAGCACTATCTCCCTAGCAGATAATGAGTCAGTTTATAACCACAGTATTTAGCGGAGCCCTGGCAGATGGGATTCAGGAAGAGAAGACACGGGGCAGGACTCAGAGTCAGAGCTTGGCATGGCCATTTTTTGTCATTTCGCCCCAGTGGCCTCCATCCTCTGTCCTGTCCCATCTCCTGGCACCAACAATTGAATCTTGCATACCGATTCCATTGAGCTATGGTCCTGTTGCTTATTTGGTTTTATATCACAGTACCTCTGCTGCCCCCCACCCGCCCGGGTCCTGTCTCACGTTAACATGGAGACATTACATTGCAGAAACCCACTGCCCTTCAGACACCATGCCAAGATTCCAGAGGACAGCATGGCATTTTCCCCTATCATCGTTCTTCTCTAGGTTGCAGACGCATCACTGGAGAACTGCAAGGACAGAGGCCGTTGTTGATACAATGGCAGAGGGCTTTGCAAGATCACCTTCCACGAACTCCTGCTCTGTGTGCCTGAAGGTTAGCTCCAGGAGTGAGACTGTCATTTTGGATTATGTCTTTAACTGAATCAACTGTAGCACACTTCCCACTGAGAGCTTCACAAATACCATCCAGCTAAGTGTACTGGAACCTTTCCAGGCAGATAAATGTATGTGGCACCCACCATGGGGCTTTTCTACCTTAACCTATGCCTACATTTAATGCTGATTTTGACAGAAAAACTCTCATGGTATATAACAGCAGTGTGCTTTAAATGCAGCTGTTGTGTGTTTTGCCATCTAATTGGTTATAGAAGTAGCTTTTACAAGTGGTGCATAAATCACACATTTGCAAATGAATCATTTTTTAAAGAAAAAATGGAAGGGGAAAGAGATGGTGAAGGGTAATATTTGGCAACTCTTCCTTTAAAATGAAAACTCTCCATTAAAGACAGTAATCTGTTTCAGTTGGCATGATCATGTCAGATTTTTTGTCAGGATTTTAAACACAACACTTGCATTCTCCTTACTGCAGAGATTCAGCACCACTAGATTTCCCCAGAGCAGGTGGCTCCTGCAGAAGTCCAGATGCTAATGCGCTCACGAAGGAGAATGAAATGACTTTGGTGGGTTCAAGCTAACTTCAGTTTTGCTTATTGCAGGGTATCTGGAAGCAGTTGGCGTGGGTGCAGCAGTGCTGGCAGGCCAAGCTCAAACATCAGAGAGTGATGCATTGCTGCCACTACCCAGGAAGACACGCTGAACATCTGTCTGGAACTCTGGCTGAGCTTAACAGTATTTTCTTTCTTCTAAACCATGGGAATGGAGATTATGCCAGGTAGCAAAATAAAACTGGATTAAAACAAGTGAAAAATATGATGACTCCCTGAAAAATTTAACCTATAGCCTGGTCAAAAACCCCAGAAAAGCCAAGAAACCAAACTAGTGTTGTAGAGTGCTGTTGGGTACATCTCTAAAAGCAGAAATGGAGAACAGGGTTGAGGTGTCCAGGCTGAAGGCCCACAAAGGAACCTGGGAGGGGCATATCCTGATGCTATGGTTACTGGCAAAGTGGCAATGTGCAACTAGTGCTGACTCTCAGCCTTAGAAGTGGATCAAAATATTGAATTTTCTACATTCTTCCTGTGTGACCTCAGTGTTCTCTACGGTAAAATGGAAACAAAATACCATTTTGGGTTGGTATTGAGAATTAAGCATGATAAATATAAACCCGTGCAGCAGAAGACTAACACATCTGTCTTCAATAAATGTAATGTTAGCTAATAATATAATCCCAGTAGCTGATAATAGCCAGGGTGACTATTACGAACATCATTCATTTGGAGTGAAAAATGCCTACTTGTTGTACTGCTTGCAGAGAAGTCATAACCCCAAGTCAAAAATCCTCTACTGAATTTTGAGATACTTAAATGAAAGTCACACTTGTTTTTGGACTTGGCCAAACTTCAGTTTCCTCATATGTAAAAAGAAGGGCAGAAACCGCAAGGCTGCTAGGACTCCCCCGCTGTCGCCTGTTGTCAATCTGCAGGACAGAGCCAGGCTTGTGCCCCCAGCACTCTAAACGATGCCCTAAAGCAGAGCAAAAGGGCTGCTGCTCTATGCTAATTCTTCCTGCTGAAGTCCAGCAAGTCTTGTGCATCCAGCAGCAAACTCTTACAGAGAAAGTGGGCTGCCTCTGGGGCCCAAAAGAGCTTTAGTGCCCTGGCATCAGCATCAAACCTGGATTTTTCTGTCCAGTACTTTTGTGAAAGAAGATAACCTTGACAGCAAGCTGCAACACAGAGCATTTTCTCAACCAGAGATGTCTGATCTGACATCGGTTTACTGTGAGCACAGGGAGGACCATACACTGACCCCTCCAACTGTGTGACAACTGCCTACTCCACTCAGCATTCTGTCATTGTGTTTGCATAATTATTTCCTCACAAGGCTCAGGGCCACGCAACAGCTTGGCCTTGGTCAACCAGTTCCTCTCCACTTTAATTTTACCTCTTTTCAAAGGGCATATTCAAATGACCCCTTAGGAAATTAATCCATTAGGGCTGCGGTTCTTAATGCTGGCAACACATCAGCATCACCTGGGGAGCTTTTCAAATAAATGCGCTTGCCTGGGCCCCACTCCAGGAGATCCTGATTAATTGGGTTTTGTGTTTTTGTGATTATTGCCACTTCCTGGCAACACATCCAGGACTCTGTGTGGTCCACCATAGTCTCTGCCTCTGTAAGGGGACTTGGGGGGTATCTATGGTTCACAGGTAGGCCCAGGAGGGTCCCTTTTGCATCTTGTTGGCAGAGAAATGTTGCAATTTGGAGCTCATGGCAGCTGAGCTGTGGTTCTATTTTATATACTGAGAGGTACCTTCAGGGTGAAGGAAAATTGATAAGTAAGTGTAAATCAGGTGTAGTCTTTGTATAACTACAAGTTAAAGATTCAAATATGGTTTTTCATAGTATTTTAAATTATCATATTCTCTTTTAAATCATTTTTATTATTTACAGAGCTACTAAGCAGTTATTCCCTCCAAAATAAAAAGTATAGACAAGCACAAGGGAAAGAAAAAATCCCAACATATAGTAGTTCACCACTAACAACCATTGTTAATATTTAGTCAAACACACATTTAGGTTTTTTACTATTAATGTTGTATATAATGTTTCATATATATATGTACACATACACACAAATAGATGTATATATGCAATTAAATATGCACGTATATGCTGATAGAAATAGTAACATAAAACCACACGACATTGCCAGTTATTTGTCATTTTTAACAACACAAACATACAGCTGTCTTTTATATTTTGTTCCTGAGCCTGCTTTTGTTATTTATCACTGCAATGCAAATATCCCTTTGTGTCAGTCTGTGTCTGGGAACATATGCATCGATGTGCACACATATAAAAAGGAGGAAATGTGTGAAGGAAAGAGAGAACATCATCTACCTTTCTTTTTTGGTAGTGCTTCATTCTTTTCTAATTCTCTTTAATTTTTTTCCTTTTCTTTTTTCTGTCAATGCTCCTAAATCATTTCCACAGTATTCATTGTTCTCAGGAGCTATTTAAAACTGCATCTCTACCAACCCACCTACATGCAGCCTCGCTCTACTAGGGAACAACTGTGACCAGCTGCATGCAGCCCATATCCTGGAGACCCCAGAAAGTAGGCCCAGGGGAGAAGGCATTGCAGACAGATGGGTTCAGTCTCCAACCCACGAGGGTCCCAGGGACAACTCCTCAAAAGCTGGTTGTGATTATTTGAACATAGTACAGATGTGTTTGGTGCTACAGTTTGTATGTTAGTTTCAGCCTCCAAAAAACCACCAAGACAGCGATTCTCTTCCCAGGCAGCAACGTCCTTCTAGTTAATGTGTATCATTTTTTTATTTCATTAGACCCACCATTTAGTTCAAAAATGACTTTTATTATTTCCTGCTTTATAGATCATATTTTAGAAACATTTTCAGCCCTTAAAACTATGTGTTAACTGTTGTGCATCCTATATTATTTGCACATTTAAATTGTTAAGAATAATCTCTCTTTTTCCCTATTCTCTCTTTATTTGGTACAATAATTCTCTAGCATCATCAAGCAAGATTCTCCCATAATTCCACAGTATCTCCAGGTCATGACCAACTAGTCTGTCTGCCTTTGTGCCTTCTATTAACTGCCCCCCCACTATGTCTGACTTACTTCCCAGAGCACCTCAACTTAAAGACACACCTGAGACAAATCTGTTTAACTCTGGTATCTCATCTCAAAGCTACTGTGCATCTCATGGCCTTTCCCTAGGATGCCCTTCTCCCTCCAATGTCCCATATAAATGTCTTGCTACGGCATCAATCAGTTTCTGATTCCTTCCTGACATCTTTGGTGATTACTCCATTTATGTGGACAGCTCCCCTTTCTGGGCAGTTTGTCTTACTTACAACTGCTAAAACATCCAAACTTCCAATAATCAATTTCTACATA